GCGTCTGAAATTTATTTTACACTTCAGCCATACTCACATTTACACTGTATACACGTGCTTTAAAAATTGCCTATATTAAACTGACATTGAATGATGTCTGGTAGTTCTGATACATTTTTGTGTCTATTCGCTATAATTTTWATATTTATTATCATTATGTTTACATTATTTTAATTTTAATGCTATTTGTAGGATAAATTTCATATAGTTATCGTTATTTTTATTCAAACGTAAAATCATTAAAAATGTTTTTAATTTTCTATTGCTGTAGGTATAGTATGAATATAATTTTAAAATTGTATTATATTTGTTATTTAATATTATGTTTTTATAAATTCTGTAAAATTTATACCTACTGATAATTGATACGACTAAGATATTATAAAGGTATGCTATTAATGTACGAATAATAGTCATCAACCGAAATCATACGACTGTATAATATAATATGTGATATTACTTTACAAGTTTACTCGTTGATTACGTTTAATTTACTAACTTCATTCTAATAGTATCAACATTTGGTTTTCGAYATATAGCTACGTATAACTTACTAATACTTTTTAAATGTAGAAAAGTAGAAAATAATTTCTCGAAAGCATTAACCCATAAAAGTTAACAAATAAGATTATTGTTATGTACTATTTTTTTATTTATTTGATGTGAAATATAATTATACAAATTGTAAAAACTAGATCGGTAGAAAAAATAAAAACAAACGAGTAATAATATATAAAAATAAAACACGGATTCTACTAACTGTAGATTTCTTTRTAGGTGTACTATAATTGTGTCCTCAAATAAAGAAAAAATCTATTTATTGAGTTTACGATTGGGAAACGAAAAATATTCTAATTGAGTTCATACTAATAGATCAAAGTAAAATATTAATACATATCAATMAGTTTAAACAATTGAATTATACATACATAATTTGCGTTAGTCAAATTTTTCAAAATAAACACAACAAAGGTATTTTTATCCATACCCTTAAAGTTTTTTGGTATTGACAATCTTAAATCTATGAGAATGGGAAAGAAGGGTTTTTTTTTAATTTCGACGAGACTCAGTAAGTATTAAAACATACATTAATTAGTAATTATATTTTAAATTTTACGGAACTCAATTATATGTATCAAAAACAATAACTCGGGATTGAATTTATTTTAAAGTTGTTATGTACGAGTATAATGCAGTCGTAGATTAATGTAAAAATTATAAAAATGTTACAAAAACAACATTAAAATATTGAGTTTTTCATATAATTCTATTGTGTAAAATGTGAATAGATTATTATAGATATATATTTTTTAAGAAATTAAGCTGGTATTCAATCGATTTTTTGGTGTTTATTATGTACCTATAGCTTTCGTTAATTATGTCTCCTCGAATAAAATATCGTAAAATATGGTGTAGAATACAGTTTATGTGATGCACGTATTTATATGAAAAATTAGTAGGTACTGGACTTTTTAGAAAAATGATTATATAGCTTGATATTTTCTTTTYAGAAATAAACAGTATGGGTGGTCAATTTCTATCGTATAATATTTCTGATATTTCGTGTGGATTATCGAGTTTGTCTTCAGAAACGATCAACCTGTACCTTTGTGGGTCGAAATGTAGGACGATAATAGTTCGGCTATGAGAATAATAACGACGAGAGCTAATATAACTGTGTAATTGGTTTTTAAAAGATTTCCGTTTTGGAATATGTTAAGTGCTAATCTCTATAGAATTATAATTACGATGATGGGATGATGCGTATATAAATGGATATAAATGTGATCCATGTCGATATATATGATATGACGCATYGCRGGTATAATTTACCAGTCGAAAATTGATACAGAGGTGGAATAATTTAAACGAACGTATTAGTGGCGTGTGTAATTGGGGCCGAAAGCGATTTGTCTATAATAATAATATAATATYGATTTCCGTACGGCCGCGCACGTAATATTATTATAAATTTTATGGTACTTTGRGCACAGTAAATAGCGGCGACGGCCGTGTGCAGAATTTATTATAACGTGTGCGTATATAATACCTATATTATACTTTATGGCTGCTGTATGTGTAAAGTCTTTGTGATATAATAGACGTTCAGTTGATTTTGGTTTGAAAAATACCATTAGCCAGGTTAACAATAATTTACAATATCGTTGTACGAGTATAGTATTATATTATAATTATAAGTATATATTGTTTACACTGCTTTTAGAGTATTACTTATAACGTTTCTTCTATATTATCAATTAATCACGAGAAAAGTATTCGGTGGAATTTCTGTATTATACTTATAATCTGGGCTCGTAAGTTCATGCACTGAAAAATGCATAAATAAGCATGCATTCATGCCCTAAAAATTAGCAAAATATGCACTTAAAAGTTCAAAAATATGCATTTATATACCCTAAAATTATTAAATTATGCACTGAAAATATGSATTATGTAAAAAACCATGAGCAAATATTAAAATAATAAAAATATATCCATTAATTTTAAAAGTGTTTTATTAATTTTAATTTTTATACATTTAATTAGTAAAATAAAAAAAAAAATGACTAGGTACTTGTGAAGTTCATGATAATATGTATTTGTTATCTAATTTTTGTACACCATTATTCGGCACCTACAATTAAAAAA